ATGCACATGGATATCCTTCTTTTGGATGCCGCGTATCGTTTCCAAAGAAAACTCACCAATAAGAAGCGGACAACACACTCTTGTCTTAAGCGTTCAACTACAAAAACTGAATGGCTCACACGTTCACAGAATCCCTTGGGTGTGTCTTAATAAACTAGAAAACACCAAATACTGGGTACCCAAAAGGGTACCCTGCAAAAGAGACGAGCCACCCAAATGTGTGCCGACGGAGCAGATGCGACTGTGCCTTCATCAGTTGCTCCGCATAACATTGTTTCTGTTTGCTCCTTTTGCTTCTTCTCGTCCTCCTTCTTCCATTGCTTCTCAGCTTCTCCAGCTGCTCCTGCTGCTGTCGGCTTGTAAAACCCCGGATGCTCCGACTTCAAAGGAATTCGCTCCTGACCTTCAGTTTTCCTGCCGGCTTATATGAATGGCGGACATGGCATTTCAAGCTGCTGAGCGCATCTTCTTCGCGAAGTCGTTAGCAGCAACCCCAGCCGCTTGAAATGGTGCGCCCGGCATGTCAGCATAAATATGACAGTGTATATATATATATATATGTGTATTGTTGTGTGTGTGTATGCACACATGCATCAATATGCATGTGCATGCATGCGTGCATGCACATACATACATACATTCATAACATAACATAGCATATCATTACATTACATTACATAACGTAACGTAACGCAACATAACATGACATACAAACATACAAACATACATACGTACATACGTACATACATACATACATACATACATACATAACACAATCACGCACCCACACAACTACACAAGCACAGAACCACACTAGAGGCATACGTGCATACACGCCTAGATGCATACGTACATGAGACACACAGACACGCACGCATGCTTCCTATGTTCTAAAGAGAATGGGCTAAAGCGTTAACCGTAGGTGGTCGCTTGTCTTGACTCTTAATAAGTATCCACTTGGGCCACCATTTTGGCTCAAGTGGACCTTTTGATCTTTTGTCTTGTGATTTGAAATCTTTCTTTCCCCTACTCTCAAAGCCATGTACGCCCCCGCCTACGCTGGTGCCGCGGTAGCAGAGGCCAAGGCTAAGGCAAAGGCCTCCATGGCAAAGTACCTGAAGGCAGAGGATGAGCCAATGGAAGATGCAGCCCCTGGGGTGGCGCAGGTGCCGAAGGCCCTGACACGCCCCCCAGGGGCGTTCCTGGAGCTCCTGAACCCGCCGGAGGAGGACGTGCCCATGGAGGAGCTCCTGGCGAAGGACGAGAAGGAGGTCCCCCTCGGCTGCAGCCCGCTTGGAGGAGGCCCGCCTGGATGCCCGGGCAGACGCCAAGTGGCAGAGGCGCCGGGAGCTGATGGCGAAGGTCAAGGAGCAGGCGTCCTCGGAGGAGGATGAGAACCCCGCAGCCCCCCCGCCGGGGGGGAGCGTGTTCACCAAGGCCCTCAAGGTCTCGGAGGGCCTCTACCAGTTCAGCGACGACCAGATGGCGGGCGACTTCCCTTGCTTCGATGCGACCACGGCCACTAGGCTCCGCCGACTGCAGGCCAAGGACGTCCAGCGGCTCCTGCGAGGCTTTGAGGGCCCCCAACTCAAGCAGGGGGGCCTGGAGCGCGTTGTGGGGGCCTTCTACATCGCCAAGATGAAGTACGAGCATGAGGCCCGGCTCAGCACCCCGGGACAGCAGGTTGGCAAGCGCGCTGGCTTGGGGTACGGGGGCCTGGAGAACCGCCCCCTGGGCAAGGTGCCCACATCCTGGATCTGCCCCTGCTGCACCATGCCTTGGGTGAAGAAGGGCGCCACGAAGTGCATGGGGTGCGGCAAGAAGACGGAGCCCATTGACACGGCGACCAACTCGGCCACCCTGGAGATGGCGGGCACGCATTGGCAGTTGACGGTGGATGACCAGGGCAATGCGGTCTGGACGGCGGCCCGGTCCGCGGGTGCCGAAGGCCCTGACACGGACCGGGCCCGCGACCTCAAGCTCAGTGCCTCGGTGGACGTCAGCGAGCTGGCCACCGACCCGATGGCCTGCGAGAACCCGGACCAGGCCAGCTTCTCGGACTTCGTCCCCTCCTCGGTCCGGGCGGTGATCAGGAACTGCCCCATGGAGCTGGACGAGGAGTTTCTGACGGCCCCACCGGGGGAGAGGCCCCCATTGCCAGGCGACAAGGAAGAGGGCCAGGAATGCAGAGCCTTCCACCCGTCTGCGGTGAAGGCCTTCAAGATTCAGACCCGGCTCAACGCCACCACCATCGCCCAGGAGGAGGCCAAGAAGGCGGACCAGGTGGAAGCGGTGGAGCGCTCCGCGGCGGTCCTCCACGAACTTCAAGGGGGGGCCATTGACGGAGGAGGTGATGGAGGCCTGCTCCTGAAGAACCTGGACTTGGACCTCTTCCGTGAGAAGCTGCTGGACAAGCTGGGTGCGGACTGGGGGAGACCCACACCGGAGCTCCTCCAGGCCCAGACCACTGCGGAGGAGGCGAAAGCGAAACACCAAGCCA